AAACAGAGGAAATACAGAAGTATTAAAGATGAATTGTGATTGACAGAGGAGAAAATTCAATTACCTGGAAAACAGATTTTGAGGGACTAGAATTGAGGATAATAATACATTAGTGACTGAAATGGGCCTGTACATGTTTTAGAACTGTGCTTTGCTATGCTATCTTATGCTCTGTTTTTCAGCAATGCTGGGTCTTCCATTCAGAACTTAAAAGCAGACATCTTAAACAATATTATGTGTTTATATTAGTATAACCAGATGTAGTATAACCGTGCTTTAATAGGTCTGCTTATAAAATCTTTTCCATGAAATGCGGTGGATCCTTAAATAATGTGTTCAGTACTCTTTTTCCTATCCAGAACACTGATAGTTCAGAATCTTCCATCTGTCTTCCTTTCTCTGCTGTTTGTCCCAGAACTTGGCCAATAAAAGCAAGGATTGTTCTTCAGCTGCCCATGGACTGCACTGCCCCTAAGATAAGCCAGGTGCACCACCTCTGAAAGGAGTGGACACACTATGAAATCAAGACTGTCCTGCTCTATTCTGTAGAATGAATTCTCTCCTGATCTGCCCACCCTGAGTACCAGAAAAGAGATGAAAATAATAGTCTTGGTGTTGGCAAATAACACCAAAATAGTAAAAAACACTCTCTCCAGTACAGGCTGCTTAAATATTGTTTAAATCAAAGAACAGAAATTTATGTGCAGAGAGGACAATTTAGAACTGCCTACTTTAGTCCTGGTTCCTACCCACTCTGAGCACAGGGGCAATTGAAAAGGCTCGTGGAGGAATGGAATCAAAAGGGGTGGGCATATGGCACAGCAGTTATGCTGCTGCCTAGGATCTCCACATTGCATATCAGAGTACCCAGGTTCAAGTTCCCACGTCACTTCTGAGTCCACCTTCCTGCCAAGGCACACCTTGGGAGGCAGCAGGTGATGGATCAAGTACTTGGGTCCCTGCCACTCATATGGGAAACTTGGCTGAAGTTCCTGGCTCCTGGCTTTGGCCCAACCCAGCCTCTGCTGTTGCGGGCATTTAAAGACTGAACCAGTGGATGGAACAATTCTCTCTGTTTCTCTCTGTCTCTCTCTGTCTCTCTCTTGTCACTCTCTCTCTGTCACTCTCTGTCACTCTCTGTCTCTCTCTCTCTCTGTCTCTCTCTCTCCACACCCCGCTCTGCCCTCTTTTTTTATTTGTTGGGCTCTTTATGTAGTCCAGTATTAAGCCTTTGGCTTAATATAAATTTATAATGTTATTTCAAAAATGGAGGGAAGGAGAATGGGAAGTATCATTATTATATTTTTAGAATTATATCTAGGAACTACAGTGAATCTATTCTTTGTATCAATATCACATGAATATGAGAATTCTGTTAATAGTAATTATCATGCATTTTCTATGACCCTGAGAATCTAATGTATTAATAAATTCATTTAAATAAATAATGCAAACTTTAAAAATAAAGATGTAAATAAAAAGAAGATGAAATCAAAAGATAATTTTACTGTGGTGTGAAAAAATGTTTGAAATCTATGCATATATGTTTCATAATACAGTTTTGTGAGTTTTTTGAGAACTCCTGCATGCATGGATTTCGAACATTTTTGCACTAACATAAGTTTACCCTTTAATTCCATTTTCCTTGAACTTTTTGAAGTACCCTCCTACTGTTAAGTGTTTATTGATTGGTTTTGTCATGTACTTTCCTACTCAGCTTCCATCAGCCCCCATCTTCCCAAATTTGTGTATACGTGTCAGCAAATATAGAACATCTTGCTTATTTTCATGGAAAGGTCAAGCAAGGGTAGGGAATATCTGGCCTGCAGGCCACATAACGCCTGCAAAATCTTTTGGTCTGCCCTGCCAAGGCAACCACAAGTAGGCCTTATAGTATGAGCAGGCTCATTTTTTTAAGTTGATAATTTTATATGGCCCATGAATGATGTTCTAAATATCCAAATGACCCTTGACAGAAAAAAAGGCTCCCCATCCCTAGAAAGATAATTTCTTATCCACACATGCACATCTAATTCTTCTTAAAGGCTACATACACCATTGTCAGGCATGCTACTGACAGAAACAGTGCCTGAATACTAGGTGATTTTTCAATTTTCCTCCTCTCCTTTTTTTTCTTTTTTTGCTATAACAACTATAAATCTAATATATATCCCAGAATAGATATTGATGTACTTTTCTTAAATGATTTATTTATCTGAAATGCAGTTACAGAGAAGAGAAGAGGAGAAAGAGAGAGAGAGGGAGAAATTTTCCATCCACTGATTCCTTCCCCAAATGGTCACAATGGACAGATCTGGGCCAGGCTGAAGCCAGGAGCCTCCTCTGGGTCTCCCACGTTGGTACAGGGACCCAAGCACTTAGGCCATCTTCCACTGCTTTCCCAGGTGCATTAGTGGGGAGCTAGATAGGAAGTGGAGCAGCCAGCACTTGAACTGGTGCCCATAGGGGATACCAGCATTGCAGGAGGCAGTCTTACCTGTCATGCCACAACACCGGCCCTAGATATTGACATACTTTCAAGGGTATATCATAGAGTATATTTCTGGCAATCAAGTTGTAGGGCCAAATACATGTTTATTTAAAATTCGAATATATTTATTGTTTTTCTTCTAAACGAGCAGCAGTTTGCTCATCTGTCAACACTCTTGTGAGCAACACTACAGTATTATCAAACATTTACCTTTTTCCTAACTGATCAACAAGAAATGCTGTCCCACTGTTCCCTTATTGTTCTATAATTATGATAATGTTGAGTGCCTCATTTCAGTTCAATTCTTTCTATTTACTGCAAACTACCTACTCCTATATTTTGTCCATAATCCCTAAGGATATGGAACACTGCACATTTGCCTACCACTTTTTCACACAGAAATTGTTTATTGATCTCTGAATTCTGTAACTATGGCCAGTTTATAAAATTTAACCAAAGAGATAATGAGAGGGAGACAAAGGGAAGAAGGAAGAAAGAAAAATTTGTTGGGTGCGGGTAGAAGTGGGAGGAACGTTACTACTGAGCATCCATTACTAGTCAGTGGATTTGAAGACCAATCCCTAGGATACAGCAGTTAGCATACTTTCTGGGATGAGGCTGTGGGTTTGAGTCCTGACTCCCCTGTTACTAACCACGCAATCATAGGAAATGTCTTTAAACTCTGTGTCACCTTCCTCATTTGTAAATTGCAAATTATGATAGCATATATAAGGAGGCTTTGAGAAGTTAATAGAAAAATAGAATTAAAAAATAATGCAAATTTTCCATGACCCTTTCAAAGTCTCCTAGCACATCATAAATGTTGTTGTAGGGACAAAGTGAAACAACTGACTGAAAGTGGCAAACACTGCATGTGGCAGGCAGCCCAAGTATCTGGTGATGGCTGGTCAGTGCTATTTCTGGGTGTTGGCCGGTGCTGTCTGGGAGGAACCAGGGCTCCATCCATCTCACTCTTGGGCCTTTCTCGCTGTGCCTCCCCCTCCCCTGCTGTTACGAGTGTACATTTGTGTTGCTGTAGAGCTAATTTAAACAATTAGCATGCATCTCCCAAAGAAACAAATGCTACGGTGTAATAAACTATTAAAAATATTTCAAGACATGGTCTGTTTTTTCCTGTCAGGAGAAGTAAATAATATTGTGGGATGCACAAGATTTTACGTATTTTGTTTTTTTGGTTCCACTGTTCACTAATAAGTGATAAATATTCAAGTACTTCAAAAACAGGAAAAGGGGCCGGTGCCATGGCGCAGTAGGTTAATCCTCCTCCTGCGGTGCTGGCATCCCATCTGGGCGTCGGTTCCAGTCCCGGCTGCTCCTCTTCCAATCCAGCTCTCTGCTATGACCTGGGAAAGCACCAGAAGATGGCCCAAATCTTTGGGCCTCTGCACCCACATGGGAGACTGGAAAGGAGCTCCTGGCTCCTGGCTTTGGATAGGCACAGCTCTGGCCATTGTGGCCATTTGGGGAGTGAACGAACAGAAGGAAGACCTTCTCTCTGTCTCTCCCTCTCACTGTCTGTAACTCTACCTCTCAAATAAATAAATAAAATATTAAAAAAAAAAACAGGAAAAAATGGAATTAAAAGATAAGCTTATTTTGCTGCAAAAGTTTTAAAATCCATTTTTTATAATAGGCATTTTGTGTAAAAGTTTTGAAGGTTTTTCTAAGTTCTTATGTCAGCAAATTGGATCTTTATTTTCTTTCCTCTAAATGATTTCTTAACTTTCACTTTATATATGGTTATACACAAAATCTAAACTTCTGAGTTATTATTACAATATATACTCAAAAATTAGAGACTGTGAAAAAAATAGCATAAAGGAGGTAGAAATTCACTTTGTAATATAAAATTTCCTCTAATGAATGACATTGTTGAATTTTAAAGAAAGTATGCTAATGAAGCAAGAAAAATTTAAATAAAATCTATTTGAGGCAACTTGTGAAGATATTGTTTTTGTGAAAACCGACAGTCTTTTCAGATACATGCTAAAAGTTACTTTTCCATCTTTGATATTTATTTCTTTTTCAGATAAATATTAATAAATAGTATTTACTAAAGTTGGTTGCCTAGCAGTTGTATCTGAAGTTTGGCAGGTTAACCCAGCAATGGAGTTGAGTAATCACATTTTTTAAATAAGTGAAATTATGAGTAGTGATTTCAAGAGAGCATCATTTGAGAATGCAATAAAATACTGATGATTCTTTGGAGGTTTCTTCAAAGAAAACCATCAATTTAAGTAAGATAAAGATCAAATACCACAAAAAAAATCTAGTCATAGAACATGTTGAATTGTCAAATGGTCACAAAGACACATGTTTTGTATTATAATCAGACATATACCTATGGGAGGTGCTAATAAATTACATGAAGTCCGTCAATTTTCTTTTTATTAACTTTGTATTAAAATAACCTAAAATGGCATATCCAGATATAGACTCGGATTATTAAATTTTCTTGATGTTTTTGTCATTTGTTTTCTGGTCCCAGAAAATGATGACCATCTCAAGGGCTTGACCACCCGGCTAGAAAATGCTGATGCCAGAAATGGGGATCTCCTGAGAAGTCTGAATGACACCTTGGGAAAGTTATCAGCCATCCCTAATGGTAAGCCTTCCAGAAACTTCAACTTCTGATGACGGTTGCTGTAAATTTTTAATGACTGCTCTTAACTTTTACCACTTTTCCAACATTGCTCTTGTACTGCCGTCAGGAAATGATACTGATTTTCTTTCTTATGAATTCTTCTTTTTAAGAATGAGAAAACAGGGGCAGGCATTGTGGCACTGCAAGCTAAGCTGCCACTTGAGATACCTGCATCTCACATTAGAGTGCGTGGAATGGAGTCCTCCTTCGGTTTCTAATACAGCTAAATGGAACTCAGTCAAGGTCTTCCATGTGGGTTATAGGGACCCATGACCCTGGGCCTTCAACTGCTGCCTCCTAGGGTATGCATTAGCAGGAAGTTGGAATCAGAAGTGGAGCTGCAGCTCATACCCAGGCACTCAGATACGGGATACAGGCCTCCCATGTGGTTCCTTAACTGCAGATTCAAACACCCACCCAAGGAGCCTGTGGTGTTAACCACTAACCTACACACAATAGCATCTATAGGTACGTGGTCTGCATACAAAGCATGATCAAGGAACCAATACACAATTTTTACAACATGGAAAATACTTAAATAATTTTTAATTTTTAAACATTTAAAATCATTGAGTAACTTTTTGGATTTTCTTGTTACCTATTGAGTGTTATGTATGTATGTATGTATGTATATATATATATAAAATTCTAAAAGCTGAAAATATAGACATATAAACAAATATTCACCCTAAAATTGAAATATATATATGTATATATATATATATATATCCCCCCCCAGAAATGCAGATTAAATCTTGGAACCTCATTTTTGATGAAAGTATATGATTCATGTGAATAAATTTCACTTTATTATGTTCAGCAGCAAATCACAATATGCCCTAATCCAATGAATATTTAGAACAATCACCTTGCTATTTTAAGAGCTAATTAGGTATTCATAGCAAAGGTCCCTGAAAAAATTTAATTTAGCTTAAAAATTGGCTGCATTTGCTACAACCAAATGAGACCAAGTTCAGCCTTCGCCTTATACATGTGTCCCTGAGGTCAGCCAGCCGTAGCCTGTCTCTGACAAGCATGGATTAAACCAGTCACTCCAGATCCTTTGTTTTGTTTCCTCTACTCTCTTCTGCTGCCAGACACAGCCGCCAAACTGCAAGCCGTGAAAGACAAAGCGAGAGAAGCCAACGACACGGCGAAAGACGTGCTGGCCCGGATTAAAGAGCTCCACCAGAACCTCGATGGTCTGAAGCAAAACTACCAACAGTTAGCAGACAGCGTAGCTCAAACGAACGCCGTGGTGAAAGATCCTGCCAAGAACAGTAAGCTCTGTCTGTTCGCTGTGGTGATGTCACTTGTTTGTTCACACTCTACCAGCATCCTGCACTCAGAAATGTCCGACTGGAACAAGCCCTCGGAGGGCGTGGTCTGCCTTCATTTTAGAGACGGGGCTGAGAAGTGAGCCTCCAGCAGCTTGGGAACAGGACCCCGGGTGTCTGCTGCTGTGCTGTCACCTTCCCGTTGTTGACCAGTTGAGCAGAGATTAGGAAACCAGGTCTACATGATATTTGGGATGGGAATGGCAAACTTTTTAACCCTTTATTGTAATGGAAAATCAGAACTGGGCTTGGGAGATTTTATCCTCAGAGTTGGTGAACACTCACAAGCATAGGGACTAAAGACAGTCGTTAGCAGGCCTAAAGTATGCAGGTAGCATCACCTTGAAGTACATGAAACTACTAAGATCTTGATGAGTTATTATTTAACTTTGAGTTATCTAAAGTTTCTAGGAAATTAAGGAGCTTATCTAGTTCATAAAGATTATTTCTTCACATCTTTTATTTATGGAATCATATTATCTGATATAATATGGATTTAATGAGAACATTGGAAGAACTTAAGTATTAGTTAAATATAGACAATAAACATTCGAATTTTTGTATATTTTTTCTCTTTTCTACCTAAGACATTGTGGTAGCATTAATCTCACCAAGAGATGGTTGAGTTTTCTATTATTCACTTTCAATATAAGGGCATTGTCAATGGACATTGAAGTATTTGTAAAGTATAATGTCACAAACACTGTTATTGATGTTGGAAGCCATTCTGTTCAAATAGTGTTTTTTTTTTAAAGATTTATTTGTTTATTTGAAAGAGCTACAGAGAGGAAGGAAAGATAGGGAGGGAGAGAGGGAGAAAGAGAGAGAGAGAGAGAGAGAGAATATCTTCCACCTGCTGGTTCGTTCCTCAAATGCCTGAAGCCAGGAGCTTCACCCAGGTCTCCCACATGGGTGCAGTGGCCCAAGCACTTGGGACATCGTTTGCTGGTTTCCCAAGGAGCTGACTTGGAAGTGGAGCAACAGGGACTGGAACTGGCGCCCACCTGGGACACTGCACTGCAGTGTGTGCCAAAGCGTCAGCCCCTATATGCTGTTTGAATCAGGCATGAAGGCTGATGTGAGCACCATGACTTAATTCAGATCAAATGCAGAGTGCTGTGAGACTGTAGACACATTAGCATGATTGTTTTGCAAATAAGGAAAAGTTCAGAGCTTAGGAAAAGAAGGAACCATTCCTTGCATTCCTTCAAGGGAAAAAAAGGAGAGATGCAAATGTTTTTTTTATTTTTTTGAGGTAAGCATAGCGATAGCTTCCCATGAAGTTCAAATATTGCACCTGAATAACTTCTGGTGCATACCAAATCACCATATTTCCACCCAAATTTGATGAAAGCAAGTTTTTGAGTAAATGCTACTATCAATGTTAGTTAATTTAATAATCTAAGGGATGATTTCATTCTATTTTCAATTGATTCCTATCTGATAACTATTTTGCATAATATTCTCTCCTCAATACCATCTCTAACTTTGTTATCTCTGTTATTTGTAAATATTAATGTTTTCTATTTTATTAGACTATTACAGTAACACTTCTTTTAATTTGAGAAGTCATCTGCTAACAGATATTTTTGTGGCTTTTCACTGAATAATATTTGTTGAACTTAACATAGGGTGCATTTGTAATTAGTGCCAGTCATGAAAAGTACCATAGTCAATACCTTGTAATATCTATAGAATGTATTTCTCTTTTTTTTGTATTTCTCATAAATGTTTTAATTTCTTTTTGTTTTACTCCCTTATGAAATTTCCTGCAGAAATCAGTATGTATATGTTCGCTTGCACACCTTTCAGTAATTCTTGTGCTTCAGTGCCTATTGCAAAAAGCTTCAGCTTTGCATGTTACGGTGTTTGGGTATTGCTTTAAACATACACATAAGTACTCGTGCACTTTCGCAGTAGTAATGGGAGCTACGTGAAGGACTCCCCCTCTGTGAAAAGGTAGCATGTGTTTTAAAAATGCTTTGAAAACATAGTGAAGGGATACTACATAAAGGTGGAAAACTAAATTCCTCCACAGATCTAGCTAAATTCCAGTGCTTGTCAAGCAACTGAAGCTCAAATGATTTCTTTGTAGCATGAACCGAAATAGATGAAGTCTACCTTGTGGTTTCTCCTTCCTCAGCCCACTTTCCTCCCTCCTGTGCAAGTATTCTCAACTTCTGGAGAATTATATTTGGAGAAACACATAGCAAAGTTAGATCTTAACAAATGAGCAAATATTGGGATACAAATTCATTCTTTCTTAAGCATCTCATAGGTTAAATTGAAAGACAAAAATGAAACTGCAAAATACTTAGAATAATCATGAAATCCAGGATATCAATATCTGAAAAATATGATTGAAGCTATCCTCTTGATTTAAAGAAAATTATTAATAAAATTAATTAATTATGTCAGAAAATAGTAGACCTGATAAATCCAAGAAGTAGATTTGGGGAATGATATAAAGATTAAGTGATTGTCAAATTCACTCAGGAAAAATAAAGCACAAATAGGCAAAGTTCCAAAGGAGATATAGCTAGATAAGTGGGGAAATTTACAAGAAAATATTTGGCCAAACTGTGCTTATAAATTTTAAAGCCTGAAAGATACAGCTCAATTTTTAGAAAATTCTTAACATTAAAATTCATCTTCAGAAGTGATTTTTAATAATCTACACAAATGATTATAGAAAAAGTTTTCAAAAACCACTGCACAAGAAATCATCAGTCAGTGTCACAAACTACTTATTTTTCAAGCCTCCAAGAAGAAAATTTTCCATATGACGTCAACCAAGTCAGAAGATAGATGAAAAAGAGAGAGGGGGAGACTGTCCAGATTCCATTTTGAAGCCTTTTTATAAAAATTTCTTGGAATTTTAGAAGAAAAGGATCCATTATTTGCCTAAGCTTCAGTAGTCTTTGCTTAACTACTTTTCTATTTCTATTATATTTAGATCTATCATTTTTCCTCAGTTTTAAAGTGATTTATAGAATATCATAGGAAACTTGAAAGAAGAGCCAAATGGGCAAATGGTTTACTAAAAATGTACAAAACAGGGAAGAACTCTATGTGTTACCTAACAAGGGCTTAGACCCAGATAAGCACCCTTTCTAGGGGGCCAGGGGCAGAGGTTGGGGGTTCAGTTATTGATCTAGCAGCTCTCTTAAAGTCAGTAAAAGAGCTGTGTTCTTTTTGTTTTTAAGTTTATTTATTTTTTGAAAGGCAGAGTTGGAGGGAGGGAGGGAGGGAGGGAGGGAGGGAGGGAGGGAGGGAGGGGATGAGAGAGAAAGAGAGAGAGAGAGAGAGATGTTCCATCCACTGGCTCATTCCCCAAGGGCTGCAACAGCAGGGCATGTTCCAGGCGGAAGCCAGGAAGCTCCATCTAGGTACCCCTCATGGATTGTAGAGGCCCCAGTACTTGGTCCATCATCCACTTATTTCCCAGGAGCATGAGCAGTGAGCTCGATTGGAAATGGAGGAGCTGGGACTCCAACCCATGCTCACAGGGGATGCCAGCAAAGTGGGCAATGATCACCCCACTGTACCAACAATGCCAGCCCCAGAGACCTGTGTTCTTTTTAAATGTATTTAACTATATAATTTATATTTATGATCATGAGTTCAAAACACCTACTTCAAAACCTAGGTTAAAAATTATAGTAAGTTGCTTCCTTTTGAGCCCATTTGATTCATTCCTAAAGGTTAGCGCTCAGTGTTTCCAATGCCAGCCAGAAGAGATCAGTTGAAGTCTAAAAGATGTGTAGCCTTGGACAACAACCAGTTTCACTTTTCCATCAGAGGACAATCACAGAAAGCTGAACAGTGCATACTCAATCATCATAAACGACAAAGTTGGATGAGACTACCCATATTCCAGGAACACAATCATTGATTGCCTTTGTGTGTTGTGTGACCTCCCATGGGAAGCCCTGGAAGTCATCGGATCAGTGATAACCTTCAGCTCTTTATGGGTTGCAGCTATTGAAACTGCCCATAGTCAAGCTTGTATTTTACTTTAGTACCTACAAAAACAGCAGTTTTTAATATGGTTCAACCTAAAATATGAGCATACAGTGCAGAAAAAAATCAACTCTTCATCAAAATGAATTTGAACTGCCTCATGAAAGATTTAATTAAAGTGTAACATAGGCCTTCCGTCTAAGGATTGTTCAACATCGAATGTTCTTCAAAGGACATTTTGATAGCTTCTCTTTTTAAGACTTGCAAAGAATGACAAAAAAAAAAAAAAAAAGAGAGAGAAAACCAATTTTGTATGAGAACCCTGATTTAAATACAGTCTGGCTTGAACAGACCAGGTGACATTTTAAAGCTGCTTTTGTTTTCTTCTGTGATTAAAGTTCCATTCTCTGAAGATCAGATTTTTAGCTAAAGCTAAAAATTAAGCAGTGAGTTAAGCCCATTGTATTCTCTACCTTCAGTGCTGATTTTCACCTTAATCACAAAACCAAAGACTTCATCTAACATCTCCTCCTCTGGGCTGATTGAATCTCAACTAAAATATTCCCATGTCTCATGTGCCATCACACACTTTGCTTCAGCAGCTGTGGCCTTGCTTTGCCATGTGGATGGGAAGAACTTATTTAGCTGAGCACCTGCTGTCCTAATTACTGTGCATGTTTGTGTAAATGTGTGTGCATGCATGGGCACTGACTTTGTTCTATGCAGTCGCAGATGCAGGCGCTACTGTGAAAAGTCTAGAACAAGAAGCTGACCGGCTGATAGACAAAATCAAACCTATCAAGGAACTTGAGGATAACCTGAAGAAAAACATCTCTGAAATAAAGGAACTGATAAACCAAGCCCGGAAACAAGCCAATTCTGTAAGTTCTTTTTATTTTTACCATCAGTAATGGATTATAATTGTTGGTATTATTCCCAGATAAAATGTTTTCCCCAGTGAACTCTGCTGAATGATCTGTGTTTTTTTTTTTTTTCCTTTAATTTGAAACTATTTAGGGCAGGATAGAGAAAGGAAGGATTAAATTTGAATTCCCATGAATTTCAAAAGGCATTTCATGAGAATAATAATCACCACTTAAGAAACTATGTTATATTGAATTGTTGTTTGAACAGAGTAGTAGAAATAGCAAAAATGAAAAACATATTACTGTATATAACCAAGGCATGGAAGAGAGGATCTCACTCTTGATAAAAGCAGAAGGAAAACCACTGGGTTGAAGAGTGAATAAAAACAGTTATGTGAGAGTGATAGCCAAACAGTTATTTTACAGATGGTTTAATCTTTTATATGAGTAGAAGCCTGATCACTATTCTAGAGATCAGTAAGCTCCAGATGTGATCCTGCATTGTGGCATTAGTAACAGCTGGACTGCCACAACCTTTGTAGTATAACACTGATAAACTGTCCATGTGGAGGGGGAAAAGGAAGTAGGTGCCAACACATGGACTAGGAATCTGGGAATGTTCCCTCCACAGTGAGGCCCAGAGCCAGAAGAAAAACCCTTGCTGACTGACCATGGGCCTGTGAATTGGATGAGGCATCTGGGTCTACTTTCACCCCCAGAAAGAGGTGTTCAGAGCTAGGTTACTCCTTTTTAGATTTTTTCCCTCATCATTCAGAATTACACATCACTCTGGGATGGGGTGCCCCCTGGTGCTAAAACTGCAGTAACACACCAACAACAGGTGTGTCATTCCTTACTTAGAGCACCATCTAATGCTGAAATAGTGGAAGTGCTTATAGGCCCAGAGAAAGTAAAGAGAATGCTTGGAATCTCTACACCAAGAATTTCTAGACAGCTTGGAATTTACACACAGTCAGATTACAAACACCGGGGAAAGTAGCTAAATCTTCAATGAACAGTATTTCATGCTGGTATGCATCAAGAACTTGTAGAGAGGTGCCAGCATTGTGGCCTAGCAGGTAAAGCCTCCAACTGTGATACTAGCGTCCCATATGAGTGTCCATTCATGTCCCAGTTGCTCCAGTTCCAATCTGGCTCCCTGCTAATGGCCTGAGAAAAGCAGCAGAAGAGAGCTAAGTACTTGGGCCCCTGCCACCCACGTGGGAGACTTGGATGAGGCTCCTTGCTCCTGTCTTCAGCCTGACCCTGCCCTGGCCATTGCAGCTCTCTGGAGAGTAAACCAGCACTCCCCCTCCCACCACCACATAAGTGTGTGTGTCCGTTTCTCTCTGTATCCATGACTTTCAAATAAATAGATAATCTTAACAGAAAAACTTTCAGAGAACTATGACCTCAGTTAATAAACTGCTATAAACAGACCAGATAGCAACTGACTCATGAAAATTCTCAGATGAAGAATGAAAAATAGCTGTTTTAAGAGAAGTCAATGACATCAAGAAAGAACAGAGAAGATTTTCAATACTGTAACAGAGAAACTTAACAGAGAAATGCAGGTAATTTTAAAAAAATCTTCAAGCTGGAGAGTACACTAAGTAACATTTAAAATCCAAAAGAAGACAGCAGTAGCAGACTACATCAAACAGAATATCTAGACAGGCTATTTGAACACATAAACAGAGGAAAAAGAAATAAAGAAGAATAAAGACAGTTGACAGGAACTTTGGACAACAATTTAAAAAAACAATTATCTGAACTATTGGGATTCAAGAAGAACTTGAGAAAGCCAAGGGAATACAAAGCATGTTCAAAAAGAAATATAACAACAGATACCACAAAAATAAAAAGAATCATAAGAAATCACTACAAAGAACTATTTGCCAACAAACTGGGAATCCTAGAAGAAATGGATAGATTCCTAGACACATGCAATCTACCAACATTGAGTCATGAAAACATAGAAAACCTGAACAGACCAATAACCAAGATGGAGATTGAATCAGCAATAAAAACCTCCCAACAAAGAAAAGCCCATGACCAGACGGCTTCACTGCCAAAGTCTACTAAAATAATCGAATACCTTGGGATAACTTTAACCAAGGATATGAAAGATCTCTACAATAAATAGTAGGAAACAGTAAAGAAAGAAATAGAAGAAGACATTAAAAGATGGAAAAATCATCCATGGTCATGGATTGGAAGAATCAACATCATCAAAATGTCCATACAACCAAAAGCAATTTACAGATTCATTGCGATCTCAATCAAAATAACAATGACATTCTTCACAGATCTAGAAAAAATTATGCTAAAATTCATATGGAAACACAAGAGACCTTGAATAGCTAAAGCCATCTTATACAACAAAAACAAAGCCAGAAGCATCACAGTATCTGCTTTCAAGATATAGTACATGGCAATTATAATCAAAATAGCCTGGTTCTGGCACAAAGACATGTAGACCAATGTAACAGAATAGAAAATAGATAAATCAATCCACACATCTACAACCAACTTATCTTTGATAAAAGAGCTAAAATCAATTCCTAGAGTAAAGACAGTCTCTTCAACAAATGGGGCTAGGGAAACTGGATCTCCACATTCAGAAGTATGAAACTAGACCCATACTTTACACCTCACATAAAAATGCGCTCAAAATGGATCAGAAACCTAAATTATGATCTGATACCATAAAATTATTAGATAACATTGCAGAAACTCTGCAAGACATTGGGATAGGCAAAGACTTCTTGGAAAAGACCCCAGAGGCCAAGGCAATCAAAGCCAAAGTTGACAAATGGGATTGGATCAAACTGAGAAGCTTCTGTACTGCAAAAGAAACACTCAGCAATGTAAAGAGGCAGCCAACAGAATGGGAGAAAATATTTGCAAACTACACAACTGATAAAGGGTTAACATCCAGAATCTCTAAAGAGCTCAAGAAATTCAACAGAATAAACAATCCAGTTAAGAAATGGGCAAAGGACTTAAACTGGTATTTTTCAAGAAAGGAAATTCAAATACCCAGAGATGCTTGAAAAAATGCCCAGGATCCCTAGTCATCAGGAAAATGCAAATCAAAACTAAATGTTGGCAAGGATGTGGGGGAAGAGGTACCCTTATCCACTGCTGGTGGAAATGTAAACTGGTACAGCCACTGTGGAAGACAGTATGGAGATAACTCAAAAATCTGAATATAGACCTACCATATGATCCAGCCATCCCACTCTTGAGAATTTACCTAAACCAAAAGAAATCAGCATCTGAAAGAGCTATCTGTACCCTCACATTTATTGCAGCTGAATTCATAATAGCTAAGATATGGAGTCAACCCAGATGTCCATCAACTGTTGAATGAATAAAGATATTATACACACACCCACACACCCACACACATACACACACACACATACTATGGAGTACTACTCAGCCGTTAAAAAAAAAGTGAAATCCTATCTTTTGCAACAAGATGGATGCAACTAGAAACAATTATACTTAGTGAAATAAACCAGTCCCAAAAAGAAGATATCATGTTTTCCTTGATCTGAGGTAACTAATAGAGTACCTAAAATGTAAAATTTAGGAGTGAAAAGACATTTTGAGAATTGAAGATTGTTTATAGCCCTTGTCTCTTATCTCATCCGTTGAGGAACAGTGTTTTCTTTTCTTCATACTATTTGTTGAACTCTTCTACTTAGTATAGGATTAACTATACAATCATTAAATAAACTTAAAATATATCTTTCTAAAAATTAAGAGTGCAAATGTGAGAGGGAGAAAGAAGAAGGGTTGGATCTTGGGTGGGAGGGAGAGGAAGGGGAGTGTCACTATGTTCCTAAATCTGTACATTTGAAATACATGAAACTTGTATAACTTAAATAAAATTTTAAAGAAATAAAAAATAAATTAATTCAGCAAAGTTGCAGACTACAAAATCAAGATGCAAACATTAGTAGTATTGTTATACAGCAATAGCAAATTATCTGAAAAGAACTAGAAAGCAATCCCCTTTCCAATAACTACCAAAACAAAACAAAATACCTGAGATAATTGTAATCACAAGAATGGCAGGCATTTGGCCTAAAGGTTATTACACCAGTTAAGATACCTGTGTCCTGTATAGGAGTACCTGGGCTCAATAAACACTTCTGTCTCCTGACTCCCACTTCCTGCTAATGCAAACCCTGGGAGGCAATGGTGATGCCTCAAGTGGTTTAGTTCATGCCACCCACTTGAAAAACCCAGGTTAAGTTCCCAGCTCCTAGGTTAAGTTCCTTACTTAGGCTGGAGGCTTAAGAGCCTTTGTAGGCATTTGGGGAATGAACCAATGGATAGGATTCTTTCTTTCCTTCCTTCCTTCCTTCCTTCCTTCCTTCCTTCCTTCCTTCCTTCCTTCCTTCTTCCTTTCCTTTCCTTTCCTTTCCTTTCCTTTCCTTTCCTTTCCTTTCCTTTCCTTTCCTTTCCTTTCCTTTCCTTTCCTTTCCTTTCCTTCTCTCTTTCTCTCTCTCTCTCTTTCTCTCTTTCTTTCTCTCTCTCTTTCTCTTTCTCTCTTTCTTTCTCTCTCTCTCTCTTTCTCTCTTTCTTTCTCTCTTTCTCTCTCTCTCTCTTTCTCTCTTTCTCTCTCTCTCCCTCTCTCCCTCTCTCCCTCTCCCCCTCTCCCTCTCCCCCTCTCTCCCTCACTCCCTCTCCCTCTCCCTCTGTGTGTGTGTGTGTGTTTCTTACTTGCTCTATCTCTTCCTCTTTGTCCCTTAAATAAATTAATAACATTTTAGGAAAGGTCTCTACTATGATACACATAAAATATCAGTGAAAGAAATGAAAAGAAATGCAAAGAAATAGAAAGACATCTTGTGTTTATGGATTGGAAGAATTAATATAGCTAAAATGACCATACTATCCAAAATGATATACCAATTCCATATAGAACTATCAAAGTTCCAATGACATTTTTCATAAAACTAGAAAAACTATTATAGTTTGTACAGAACCACAAAAGA